TGATTGGTGGCGCGGGGCGTCTCGCACTCGGGTCCGCCGCCGGCTTCGCCCTTCTTTTTGCCCGAAGGGAATCTGCAACCCGCCGTCCCCGAGTTCCCCGGAGCTATGGCTCGGCTTGCGGGATAGTTGCTTCAAGAAATGTAATTGAGCTACCATTGATCTTTTTTCTTTCTTTTTTTTTTTTTTTAACCTTTTTGCATGACCTTCTAAATTCAGAAACGTAAGGCCTTGCCTAAAACCAGCCGGACTGCCCCGAGCCCCTCGGTAATCACACGCATGCGCACTTGTTTTGGTAACCTGGTGGTAGGGCCTGAGCGAACTTTTGAGTATTTTTCTCTATGAGCAAATACATTGTATTGGATTCTCAACCCCCTCCAACTTGGTCCAAACAAAATTCCGGAGAAGTGATATTTTTAAGCCTTTTTAATCCCTATTTTGCTGACACGTGGCTCTCCCTCTACCAGAGCTGCTTTAAGGCCCTTCCAATGGGTCTGCTTGTCCACGTCCCTCCATCCCCCGCCTTCCTGCCGCTGCCTCCAGTGTTCCTTTCTAGCCATTCACCTTGCTCGGATGTAGATCAGGTTCATCTACACCTCATCCCTCCCATTTTCAGAAAGTCTTCCATGGCTCCCCTTTGCCTCAGGTGAAACCCAGACGCCTGTAGATTTCTCCCACCTCTCTTGTATTCTCTTCTAGGATTTGTCTTTCTACCTCTGGGACTTTGCACATGCCGTTCCCTCTCCCTGGAACACTTTGCCCCTCATTCCCCTTTTCCTTCAGTCCTGGTTTTACTCTTATTATAACCCACTCGCCTTTACTCATCTCGAAGATCACCTCCACCTTCTCCCACCCATCAAGACTGGGAGGTGCTGCTCCCTGTGTCCACCCCTGTTCTGTCCTTTCTCTTTCCTAATATTCAGAGCATTTGGAATTACAAACTTATCATCTGAAACACACCCCTGCCCACCTGAATATAGACTCTCTTGTTCACTGGTCTTACCCCTAGTACTTAAAATGGTGCCTGCCACACTTGATACCTGATGGTATCATCTTTATATGAAAATAAGTGACTTTTAAAAACATATGGTCAGTGTTAGGTTCAAAGCTTCGTGTTTTGTGTGTGTGTGTGTGTGTGTGTGTTGTTGTTGTTGTTGTTTGTTTGTTAAAATATCACATTCAGAAAAAGACTATTTCGCCTGTTATTCCGAGGTCAACCGCAACCTCCTTATGTTGCAGCAGTTGGAGGACGCAGAACACCTTTCCTCTCACTGTTTATTTTAAACAGCTTTCATTAAATGCTCATGGGGTAACAGATGCCGTCCTACAAGCTCTGTGTTTAAAAAAGAAAAACAACTATTTGGTCAGAAACGATGGTTGCAGATTCATAGAATATGCTCGGAAAGAGATGTTTTAAAACTTGCTTTGAACCATTCTCTGGGACTAAGCACAGAAGCTCATTGGATGTATAAGAAGCGGGAGCCACTTTATGGAGAGCCTGTGGGGTACAAAGCACTTAATGTGCTTCCTTTAGCTCCCTCGCCTGCCCCGGGAAGGTGGTGGTATTCTCCTCGCTTGCTCAGGGAGTGATTGGGACCATCTGGATGTGCCGTACCTTTCTCTGTCTCCACTGAGGAGAGAGAACTGCAACTACTAGTATTTCCACTAAAACAATGGTTGGAACCAACCAAACCATATTTACCGGGTGCCTCCTGTGTGCAGGTCAGCATGCTCCAGTATGACCACTCCTGTTTACCAAGTGCATTCCATTAACGACCATACCATCGCCTACAGAATGTGCGTGCCAATGACAACAATTACCATTTACTGAGCACCTACTGTGTGCAGGTCAGCGTGCGCCAATGAAGAAGGCTAACACTGACCATTACCATGTGCCAGGCCTTGACACTGAGCATTTCATTTCACCCTCACACCAACCCAATGTAGTATCCCCTGCTAGTATCCTCACTTTATAGATAAGTAATAAACTGAGGCTTGGAAACGTGTAAGTGACAAAGCAAGAGTGAAAGCCTGCCTAGCTCCAAAGGCCAGATGTAAAGTCCTAAGCACACCCTAGCGAGGAGTGCTGGGAATAAAGGGGAGGCAGACATGGTCTCTGCCCTCCAGAAAGCTTTCCCCTAGTGAAGGTGTCACATGGTAAATCACCAGATTAACCCCCCTATGGCAACCCCGAGAATGCACCTCTGATGTGTAAAAGCAAGAGTGAAAGCCTGCCTAGCTCCAAAGGCCAGATGTAAAGTCCTAAGCACACCCTAGCGAGGAGTGCTGGGAATAAAGGGGAGGCAGACATGGTCTCTGCCCTCCAGAAAGCTTTCCCCTAGTGAAGGTGTCACATGGTAAATCACCAGATTAACCCCCCTATGGCAACCCCGAGAATGCACCTCTGAGATCTGACTGGTGGGGAGAACCTAGTGGGGCCCCAGCTACGGTGCTCTGCTTTGAGTCCAAGGCCACTCTTTGGCAGATCTGCTGACACTTCGATTTTAGCCCAGTGAGACCACTTCAGACTTCTGGCCTCCGGAAGTGTAAGATAATAAATTTGTGTCGCCCTAGCTGGTTAGGCTCAGCATCAGCCTACAGACCGAAGGCTCCGGGGTTCGATTCTGGTCAAGGGCACATACATACCTTGGTTGCAGGCTCCACTCTGGCCAGGGCCCTGGTCCAAGTGTATGCAGGAGACAACCAATTGATGTGTTTCTCTCACATCAGTATTTCTCTCTGTCTTTCCCTCTCTCTTCCACTCTCTCTAAAAATCAATGGAAAAATATCCTCTAGTGAGGATTTAAAAATCTATATATATAAAAGCCTAAGTGACAGAATGACCGGTCAACCAGTTGCTATGATGTGCACTGACCACCAGGGGGCAGATGCTCAATGCAGGAGCTGCCCCCTGGTGGTCAGTGTGCCCCCACAGCCAACCTCCTGTGGCCCCACCCCTGCTGGCCAACTTCTCGCAGCCCCAATGGCCCCGATCACTGACCAGACTGAGGGACCCCACCCATGCATGAATTTGTGCACCGAGCCTCTAGTACAGCGGTTCTCAACCTGTGGGTCGCGACCCCTTTGGGGGTCGAACGACCCTTTCACAGGGGTTGCCTAAGACCATCGGAAAACACATATATGATTACATATTGTTTTTGTGATTAATCACTATGCTTTAATTATGTTCAATTTGTAACAATGAAAATACATCCTGCATAGCAGATATTTACATTACAATTCATAACAGTAGCAAAATTACAGTTATGAAGTAGCAATGAAAATAATTTTATGGTTGGGGGTCACCACAACATGAGGAACTGTATTAAAGGGTCGCAGCATTAGGAAGGTTGAGAACCACTGCTCTAGTATAAGAATAAAAAATAATAATAAATTTGTGTTGATTTTAGGTCACTAAGTTTGAGGTAATTTGTAACAGCAGGAAAGGGGAACTAATATAGTATATGACTTATCCTAAGCCTCAGCATCAGTTTCCCTCTCTGTAAAATGGGTTTACCAACACCCCTGAAATGATCATTGTGAACATCAAATAAAGCACATAAGTGTGCTTCCTACACAGCCTGCACCTCC